ACTCTTTACCCTGACCAAGTTCGAAATTCTGGCCCAGGTAGTATAGTCGATTCGAGGGGGAAATAACTCCCTTTTGAAGTGTACACATGATTCCCGAAATACTTGATTTCCAGTGATTCCCGCCCACTTATATTTATTTCTCTGGTTTTCTATTGGTAGAAAACGTTTATTTCGACTAACTTGTACCAGTTCTGCTAGTTTCCTGCTCAGTTTAAACGATTTCTGTTGATTTCGATCAGTTTTTATCGTGGTGATTTCCTGGCAGGTGTACACATGATTCCCGGAGTTCTTGCCCCCTCGAGTCGATTCTTGTGACTTCTGCGGCACATCGACAACCCAGACCAAAATTTCAGATATTTTTCACAGCAAAGAGGATGTTGATGGCAAGAGTTTGCGATTTTTGGGTGACTGTACGAATAACCTCTTTGGATAAAAAGTCTACACTGATAAACTAAGTGTGCAACTGCTTAACACTTGTAAGTGTGCAACTACTCTGTAGAACACTTCCTTAGATTGAACGCTCACGGTGCAGGAAGAGCTCAACTCAGGAGTTGCACACTAACAAGTGCACACCTGCCGAGTTACTTGCAAGTGCACAATTACAGCGTTGCACACTTAATGTGTAAAGCAGTTGCACACACAGTGAGTAGGTTGCTGTGCTCCGATCCAGCAAACGCGTATACTAGCCCGCATGCATGGGTGCGGGCCGGTTGCCTATTCGCACGGGGCCACACGGCGCCATTGTTGTAGACGATAGGCAAACCCGTCCGCGCCCGCATGAGCGCGTTTACCCGGACGAGGCACAGCCTGGGCACAGCGAGCACCCTGTCTGTAATCGGCACCATTTCCGAGGAGATAACGGAGCAATATTTATTCTGCACAAATCTTACACAAACAAAGACTTGTGAACATCAAATGACAATGAAGCACAACTTCGCCTTCCCCGAACGTAATAACGGTAATGAGTGAAAAGGGGAGATAGAGAAGCACTACGCACAATGTCTCCCAAACGCAACCCGTAGGGGAGGGGGG